CTCTCTCTTTTGTCTTTCATACGTGCCTGCTCTTCTTCCACGGAGCGAAAATTATATTTTCACACAGCCGTCGTGAGTGACTGTTAGCCAGGCGCGCTATTACTAAATCTGTGTGTATGAGTGTGGGCAATCTGTAATTTGTGAGCCTGTTCGTTTAATGGAGTCTGTGGCTCAGAAGATGCAGGACTTGTGTATCCCATCACTCCGCGCTAATGTCTCGGAGGAGGCTGGCAGATTTTTTTTTTTTTTTTTCCTTCAGTTTTCAAATTTAGTCACATTGTCATTTCTGTCTTCAGGGGGACATTGAAGTAACACATTTCTTTTGATGCATTTCAGTTGCCTGTTCTGTATCTTCTATTTAAAGTAAAAATCCTTCAGTATGAGTGACAGAGCTTTAGTGTGGCACGGAGTAGAGAAGTCTCACATCTGTGTTTGTATGGATTGTCTTCTTTGTTGAACATGGTGACTCAATCAGATATTGCCTTTTTATGTTCTTCTTCCCCCTGAAGCAGTACTGTGCCATAACTGCAGTTTCCAAATCTGCTAAATGGCCTTAACCATGCTGGACGTGAAGCGGTCTTTTCTTTCGAAATCAGGGATGCAGCGGGTGAGTGGTGTCTGTCTGCGTGAGACACTTCCACATGATTTGTTCGGAAAATACTTCACTCTGTCAAAACGTTCTTTTTATATTCATAAGTCCCCTGAGTGGACGGCTGATTAGTTTGGGAGATGCAGCATCTTTCGTTCGTGTTTGTTTGTCACTTTGTTTTCAGCCCTGTATTAAGATGCCAGGCTCAGCAGGCTACCATGGGGTTTCATCATTGTTAAGTGCTCATTCCAATCCCGCTGATTTCTCCACTTGGTTTTTCATCTCCGTCTTTCTGTCTATTTGTCTTCTTTTTTTCCCTCTTTTTCATTCTTTATCCGACCATCTTGATTCCATCCCCCCAAGAAAAGATAAACCCCACTTACATAATGTCATCCAAGGGCCTCAGATCTTCTTTCGCTTTGCTGCTACAGTCACAAAGAGAAGACCCTTAAAGCTTTGCATCCTGCATCTGGACGTGATTGTCTCATTGAATTACAAAGTATACCAGCATCCTTGAACAGGAGGACATTGGGGAGTGGGGGGAGGCTAAAGAATAGATGAATGTAAAAGATGGAAAGAGAATGGAAATCCGTGGAGAATGGCCTGCTGTATTGATTGAGGAGCCAGGAAGCTTCAGAGAGGCACTTCGGCACATGTTGTATCGACTAGTGGCCATACAGTCTCAGATTGGCTGCAAAGGAGGGAATTACACAGACATGTTGGCATTCTGACTCTTAAAGCGTAGAATTAAAGTCATGCATGAGAGCTAAAAGAGGGCAGAGAGATTGGCCAATTCATTTTTGCTGTTGTTCCTTCACTGAACTCCCGTTCTATTGATGTTCTTTAGTGTGTACAACTTCCACGTAATCATGCGTGTCTATGCGATGTATCATGCGACTGCTTGCTGACGTGTAATTGTGCGAAGAGAGCTGCCTTATCGATCTATAATGCAGAGCCCCATCAATGTTTAATGTAGTCTCTCTCACTCTTTCATTTCTCTCCCTCCCTTTCTCTAGCCCCAAATGGTAGGCTGCTTCCAGAACCTACCATTTGGTATTGATCTATCACTTGCTGCTAATAAGAAGGAGCTGTGCTCTCGGGGATTGGGAGCTGCAAGGCCTCATCTGAGTCTTGGCTTTGCCTTGTGACTTTTGGGTTTTGACTGGTACTCTTGCAGTGTTATCCAACCTACATCCATTGTATGATAAAGGGTAACTAATATTCTGTGATGCAGTTGCAATACAGCCTCGAGCCTTACGGATCCTTGAATGTATTTAAGGCTGGTGACGCCGACACCTACAAGCCATTGTTTTCCAATAGATTTATGAGCCATGGTTGCTTAGTTAACATTAATCTCTCCATGTTAACAATTTTCACAAAGACTCAACTACTGGTGAAACTGCCTGGTCTTAATTTAGTGGAGCTTGCAGCTGGAGCTGACATAGCAGAATATGAATACAGAAGAAAACACACTGGGCTACCTTCCAAACACTAGGGACATGGCAAGGTCCTTTCCTTGCCTTGCAAATGACTTGCTATAAACTTGGAGTGCGTGGACGACTAATTGCTTTTACAATGCTAAGGAGTAACCCAACATTAAGCTTCTAGACAGACAATAAACATCCCAGGTCCTTGAAATGCAATTTTCAGTAATGTATTGTTTTTAACTGCACTCCATACTGTATTGTGTTTGTGTTCAGGGTGTGGTGGGGGGGCAGAGTACACCCTGGACAGATCGCCACTCCATTACAGGGGCAACAGAGAAACAGGCAATCAACTGAAACTAAAACTCATTATAATAACCAATCAAACTAACAGATTAATTGTTTATTATTTACCCAATATTACCTAATATTAAATAAATTTAAAAAATACCTATACCAAAATTTAATTAGTGTGTAACCTTAGGCTATTTAGATAACTTGTAATTTCAGCAATAAAAAACAATGTTTCCTCTCTTTCGAAGAGATGTTTCGTGTAATTAAGTTGATTTTATAATGAAACTATTCAAATCCACTTATCATTTAATGGATGAACGGTTCACAGAAGTGCTCATTTAAAAGCCCCACACATACACATACACATGCACATACACAAGGGACATTTTCAAAATCTCCAGTGCCAGTGGACAGGTGTGCGAGCAATGCCATGATGGCTGTTCGAGCCCCTCCCCGTTGCTAATCACCACTTAGCATACTCCATTTACTCATCCGCTACTTTGATATTCTGCTAATGGTAGGCATTAGACCACATGACTCTGCTCATCCACCCCTCCCTTGGGCCTTTGACCTTTTTTTTTTTTTTTTCGTTTCCGCATCCTATCTTAGACCGAATCCCCTCCAACCCCAACCCTCCCCCTTCCATTTTAAAAGGAAATAGAAAAAAAAATGGTCGACCAAGAGCCTGTGTGATTTGACTAAAGCTTCTGTGATTTCCCCAGAGAAAGGTTTGGCAGTCCCCACAATGCTGGCTGGCGCTGAGGGCTGTTTCATGCTCCTATCTCCCCAGCTGACAGCAAGTCGTACAAGCAGGCAGGCAGGCAGGCTGGAGCTGGCTGGCTGTGGAAACTAGACAAGGCAAGGCTGATCTTAGGGAAATTGAAATACTCTGATGGAAGCCGGGTGTGAACAAGGCTGTCACTGTAGGTGTACACAGAAAATTGCTCTCTAAGTTGGCTGGTGCATGAGCAGAACGGGTGTCCATCTGCGTGTGTCCTAACATGCATTGTGAGTGCTTGTGTGTGCAGGGGCTAATTGGTTTCATGTCTGAGGACAGTTTCTCCCAGTAAGTAGAGATTGAGAATGAAAAGGCTCTTTTCTTCTTACAGGTGGCTTGTCACTCATCCTTACCACAATGTACTTGTTTTTAAATTTTTTTTAACCAACGCTCTTGAACCACGGATGACGGGCTTTGAGTGTTCCGTCATTTGGAATGATTTCAAAATGCACAGCGACTTCAGTGAGACTCCAAATTAGCAGCAGCTGCGAGTGCGTGCTTGTTCTGGGGGAGTAGGTAAAGGGAGGGTGATGAGGGCTGGAACCTCTCCTGGAAATCTTGAAAGAGGGCATCGTTGTGTCTATGCATTTAATCAGAGTGAGATTTCTCCCTTATCAACAACACATGTGGGTTGTGCTAGCCAACCATTTGCTGTGAAAGTGGAAGAGCTCCAAGCCAAACACACAACGACCACAGTTCCTATGAAAATTGCACACACACACACTTTCTGCTTGTCTACTACAGAATGCAGATCATCACACAAGCATACCATTCACCCTTCTGTCTCGCAGTTTTTAATCTGTCTGGACACAACACAAAACAACAAACACAATGGAGTGTATGTCGTGGCAGGGGACATCGGAAAATGTGAAATATCCTTTGGTTCACTCTCTGTAATATTAATGTTTTAGGACCGAGGATAAACTGTCTGTTACAGGGGAAATTATCAATCTATCATTACTCTGCTAAGGCCAGCATGTCAGTTAGTCCATCGCTCTATAAATCTGTATTGCAGGGAGAGGGGCAGGTGAGCGCTTTGTGAAAACCGCCATATTTCTCTCTTCTTTCCTTGAGCAACATATCATGTACCAGCAAGGCAGATATTAATCAAAAAAAAGAGCTGATAAACTTCTGGTGTGAGCTGCCAGACTTATTTGTCTAAGCTATGTCCCTGAGGATTAGGAAGGGGGCAATCTGTGTTCTCATATTGCACTGATATGTGGCCAGATATGACATGTTGTATAATAAAAGTCCAAACAAAGATAAATCCAATCCTTGAACATTTCTCTGTACTTTTTTCTTCCTTTTTCAGGCTGCATTGTGTTACTCTTTCATTTTGTGTAGCCTAAAGTTATCCAACATAGGTCATCATGTTTTTTGGCAGGCGTTTAGAAAATTAGCTAATTAATCTGAAATTAACAAACATTTTATGGCTTGCAGATATATGCGTTTTCATAACTTTAGGTTAAGGAAAGCTGACGCAAATACATCAGAGCCTAACCTTGGAGGGCTCCTTCTTCATATGTGAAGCCAACTCTTTTTGCCAGGCCATCTGCAAACCTCATACAGTGTATCGACATACCCACTTATCTTTCATGCAAATACTTGCACACATATAAGCAGGACAAAGGCAGGATGTAGTCTAGTACTGTATATAGCGAGATAACAATGCAAAGAGTTTTTTTTAGTCTCTCAGAGGTTCCTTCCAGCAAAGTGCCAAGGATTTGTTTCTAGTCTTAACAGAAGAGTAACAGAGATGGATGAAACACTGTAGGGATTCTTACTTTCTGTTCATCAATGAGTGTCAAGCGATCACTGGGGCTTGAATATAATTTAGCTGTGTGGGATGGTACTCAAAATAGCTTCTGTGTGGCTAACCGCTGGTTCTCTCTGTCTTTTTCTTTCTTTGTTGCAGAGACCTTGATGGACACTCGGGTGGCCACAGCTGAGCTGGGGTGGACAGCATATCCTAATTCTGGGGTGAGCCCGTTGTTGCCAACACATGTTTACATAATGAAATAAATCAGAAGTTTCACTTCACACTATTTTTCTGTTTTTCAGGTAAATAGCTTTGTTGGGTATGTGTAACATGACACAGAGCACGTACAGGTTTATAGGCAGACAGACAAATAGGCAGGAAAGCAGGGAGGATGGGAGTTATAGTTATAGACTTAAGCAGTGCCCAATGTAGCTCCCATTATGGGTATTATTTTCTCTGTGTCCCGGTTCATAATGACTTAATAACATAATGGGTCCACCTAAGTCCCAGAACACAGTACCTAAGTCCCTGTAAATGGAGGCTGGGGGGGATACCATAGACATAATGATACTGTAATGATACATTTATACAGGGAAGTGGAGGTATTAGGATGAAAGAGGGAGGCGGAGCTAAGAGGACAAAAAAATGCTCAGGGCTTTTCAGATTTAAAGGGAACTATCTGCAGCTTTTAGGTATTCTCACAGAAATGGAATGAGCCTACCTGGAACAAAGTGGAACAATATTCCTCTTTTCTCTTTTTTGATTGAAACTCAGTATTATTGCCCTGTTATGCTAATGAAGCGTTTTAAGACCTTGTTTTCTGTATTGTAATTCGATAATTCAATGAAAGGCTCCATAGCACAACAGTGATATGAATCTTACAGGAGCTATCCAGGATAGAAAAGGACTGTTTCCCGCATTTTCTGGGTCTTTAGGTCTTTATGAGGCATTTTACACACGTGTAAAAGGAGCTTTTATTGCTACCGAGCAGAGCTTTGACTCTGTTTAAGCATTAGAGTGTGGCAGGGGTTTTTTGTATTCCTCAAGGAATACAAGCTAAAATAACCTGTAATAACCTCGTGTGTGTGAGTTTGCATGTATGGCTGTGATATTGTCATCTGCACAATATCTGGAGTGAGCCCTTCTCATTGTGGTCTCCACAGTTTCAATGTTTTTCTCTTATGGCATGAGCCATGTCGCAAATTCCTTCATGATTAATCAAGAAAACCCCAGTGGCAGATGGAGCAAGTGGACTTGTACATTTTCTTGCTTAACAGCCATTGTTAACTGTCATTATCCCCTTCTATGTTTCTGTCTCTCTTTTTGATTTATTCATTTATTTTTTATTTTGTTTACTTTTTACTTTTAATTTTGCCTTGCTCTTGATATTCTCTTCACAAACGGCTAAAACACAAATGTTGGTTAGATACCTTTTTTCTTCAAAAATGTTTAGCTGATATCTCAAATTAGCTGATTGCAGATGTTAGCATGACCAGGATTTCCTCTAGCTTAACCGACTGACTTCCTATTTACTACCTACACATATTATGGGCTTAAATAAATGCAACTCTAGTCGTTCCAAGACTTTATAGACCAACTTGATCAAATGGTGAACAGCAGTGTTCACCATTAGCAACATTTGCACGATGTGCAAACTGTAGTAATGCCATCAAAATGATCACGAAGCCAAGTGTTTTTCTTGTAATACGAGCATGCCCTACCAAAAACTGATAGCTTTCGCCACGGCACATAGAGCTGTGTCTCATGTGCAGCCTCAAATCAGCTGCCCACAGATACTGAGAGACCTACATACATATGGCTGGTGACCATCGCAAAGACACAACACATTTTCCACACATAAAACAGATATATGTTTAAAAGCTGTTCTTAACAAGATCTGACATGCATACCAAAGGTGCAGCACAACAACACTAACAGTTCAAAAATAATAATTGTTTTGACAGATTCATGTTAAATGTTACATGTGTATTTGAATTGTATTTCTGCCTTTCTTAATGTTCCCTTCTACTGAACCGGCAGGCAGTGACCCAGCAACCAACACTTACCAGCTTTGAACAAAAAGTATTTATGGCTTTAAAGGATAATTAGTCCGGTTGTTTTAGACCAAAACTACAGAAAACAATGCATTAGATTTGAGATTCACTGATGCACCAAAACAATAATCAGCCAAACAGCCATAAAATGCTTCATTTTATTTTCCAAATAAGATAAATTATTAAGCTTTAATATTTTCTCTAAATAAAAATAGAGGGGTGCAAATAATAAAGTTGCTATACACCCACCTTTACCTGACAAATTTTACCTTCCCAAACAAAGCAGGAGCATTTGTACAACAAAACAAGTATCAGGTGCTTATATATCATTTTCCTTTAAATTATAAAATTACCAGATAACAGGACATCAACCTTTTTCTCTTTTTCACTCATCTCCATAATTTTCCTTTTAACTGCTTTGATTCCTTTACTGCTCATACCGAGGCTCATGCTGCCTCAGGTTGAGGTTGCTGACATCTGGCTAGCTCTGAGCTCTGGTCAGCTTTAGCTTTAGCCACTTTGCCCTTCTTCAAGTTGGGCATGTTCAGCTGGGTGAAAGTGATTTAAGTGCCTCATTAGGTTTATTTCAAACATTTTTGTGGTGGTTCCCCTGTGGTTTACCATGATGAATGATCACAGCCACATGCTAACATGTCATTAACATGTAGATGTGGGTGTGAAAGTGACTACTTGATTGCGCCGCTGTGTGCTTTTTGAGCATGCACGAAATTGAGTATCTTGTACACATGTCACATGTGAGACTCATCTGCTGCTTTATGCCTGAGATTTGGAATTACACACTTTGTCAAAAGAAAGCAAACAAACAAACAAAAAGTATTTCTAACTGTTTGTAGACAAGAGCTATTGGTCTCATACTAAACTTTTAACTCTGAATGTGCTAATGTGCAATAAAATATTTCTTTTTCAGCTTGACATTGTCACATCTTTATATATGAAAAGAGAAAGAAAATCCAGTGAGACTTGTTGCGTTTAGACTTCTACAGTGCTGTTACTATCGAAGCAGATTCAGTTTAGCAAGCCCCCAGGCACACAGAGACATATCTGACTTGTCTGAGTTGAGCGTAGTTCAATCCTGCTGCTATTGTAAAGGTTCAGGGAGGGAAAGGCCTGCTGTAGGACGGATACACAAACTGTTTACTGGTAGAACTTATTACACTATGCAGCTACCGTGACCTTGAGCTTGAGAGATGCAGCATGACTGTGAGAAAATATTCATTATCATGCACACTCACACAATTAATGTAAATCCAGTTTTTAATAGATTTCTGTGCGAGCTGAGATGTAATAACTTAGTCAATATCAGATAAATTCCCACGTGTACAACCCTCACCTCTGAGAGCTGCAGGCGAACCTCTTTATGTGTCATGCAGTTAATTTATCAACCGCCTGAACCTTCAAAAACAATGTTTTATTGCAGCTTTTCATAGCTGAATCAATCATAGCTACAGCTATAGATAAAGATTGCAAATGCCAATCTTAAAACCAAGACTGTAGCCTGAGGGGTGTGAAAAGTCTTGTCATGTAGATACAGTATACTAAGTTTAGCTCTGTGTGTGCAGCCAGTAACTGGGCACTCAATTTGCTACTCTTTATAACCTTAACAACTGCTTCTCTGACACCACACAACAAGAGTTAAAGTGCACACACTGCATGGTTCCTGAGCTATTTGATACAACTCATTAATTTTCTTTAGTAACTTTCCCCTCAGGAGTTTTTAAGCAGTGTATTTGTGTGTCTGTGTGCATTTGTGTGCTTGGCTGACTCAAAGGGTTAATTCGGAAGGACTCCAGAAGCAGTGCCATTAGTTCCAGTTGTGTAAATGCAAGAACATCAGAGTTAGGCATGCAGACATATAATGGAATAGCAGCAGTGTGGTATGGTAGCAGTTTTCTGGATAAAGAAAGTTAGTTTGGAAGGTATAAAAATGTGGAGAGTAAACAATATAATATTCTTTCATCATGTGCCTTTCCGCTACAGTATTTTTTTTTATTGTTTCAAATGTCTATTCTAAAGTTTTTTTTGCTCATTCTGTCTCACCTTCATCCTTGTGCGTCACTCTCATGCTTTTCTCCTCTCCCTTTTCCTTCTGCTCTCTGCCTTGCTCTTATGCACACTCCCTACAATAAATAAAATATGGAGTCCCTGAAAGGCAAGTATCCCCCAACCTTGTGGCCATGCGACAAAGAGCAGACATGAACAGCAATGACACACACACACACATATACACACAGTGACTTAACCAAAGCACAGTTTCTGTTCCAGTTTTCAACAGTCTCTCGGTTTTACTGGGGCAGCTGTGGCTTGAGTGGTAGAGTGGGATGTACTACTAATTGGAAGGTTTGTGGTTTGATTACCCCTGCTCCTCCAGTACACAGTTTTTTGGTGTCCTTGGGCCAGGTTGTGAGGGGTGAAGATAGTAAATAGAATAAGAGTGCTGTGAATGGGTGAATATAGCTTGTAGTAAAAAGTAGAATAGAAAATAAGTTTTAGTTAAATTAAAAAAAAATGTGTTAAGCCAATTAAATTTATGGTGAAGAGTGTAATCGCATGAAAAAAGGTTGGGAACATTTAGATTTTGGTGAATGCAAAAAGGCAACTATGCAGTAAAAGTATATTAAAATGCGAGTATTTCTTCAACTCTGATTGCATTGCTACTTTTTCTCCATTAAACTAAATAAACTTAAATTAATTAAATTAAGGAAAAAAAAGTTCCCTCTTGTAAAGTCTCAGAATGTCACTTAATCATTAAGCCGTAAATGACAAACTAAGAATGCTAACTCAAGTACTGTTATTATGTATTTTCAACTGATTACAGCTTTAGAAGTTAAATTCTTTGGCTCAGACCTTGAGTTTGAAGAGCCAGCAGTCATGGGCTCCTCTAAGTAGATGGCTGACAATCTGAAAATGGAGCTAAGTGATGTTTACAAAGTAGGTAAAAGCTATGAAAAGCATTCTGCGCCTCCAAATTCTAATGTCTAAAATGTCAAGACGGGGTCATAAAAAATGTCGTGGAGTGGTCCAAGGCACACTTGAAGTTCTGCCGAGATGTACTTCAAGGAACACAAGCTTAATGTGAACTACTGACTCAGTGACTGTTGCATTTGCAGCTGTTAGAAAGTCAATGACTTATGATTTAACTTAAAATA